TTTACAATGCTACTGCACAGCGATTTCTTTATCTAAACATATGAATGTTGTTCGAAATTGTCCACATACGTTAAACGAGAACCATAGTTTCTGTGTTTTTACGCAGATCACGTACTTCACGTACTTTTTATTTCAATAATAAATGTCCGGGCTTACATCGGGAGTCTTCAGTAACCAATATTATATTATATGGTCAGAAACTAAGACATACCTGACTAATGGGTGTGGGACGAAAAAATATTTTATAGACTTATAAAAGTATATACCACAACAACGTTTTTTACACATATATTATCGTACAAACATAATATTTATTTATCATTTCAGTTTTGTATTAAAATCTACAAAACGATTATATTTATAACGCATGGTATTTTTAGAATACATAAGATATGTGCGATTCCTACAAAATTATTTTGTACAAAATAAATCCATTCATATTAAACGCCGGAGGTTTTCATACAACTTTTTCGCGGTTGGTTAACCTACATTTGATTAGACTCTTTTAATTTCATGAATTAACACTATTAAAATATAATAATCCTGGAAATGTATGAAATTAATTTTTAACGAGTACTAGTTAAAATGTTATATTTCCCTATGACTCCATTATGATTATAACTGCTAACTAACGTGCAGCACAAAGTAGTATCTAATAATTTGTATGTAACAATTATAACAAACATGGTATTTTTGTTTGAATCATCGTGAATGATGCGTTATATTTTTTTTCATACAATTAACTAATCACGAAAATGTGCCCAACGCCTAAGGTTCGTTAATATTTATTTATTTAAAATCTATTTACTTGTTCGTTAATATTTCTACTATTTTTTAACATCAAAAACACACACATCGAGAATAATATTTTCTCATCGCTTGTTATGTATACATATTACACATAACAATAATAATTATGAGATTTTAAGATCGCGAACATAATAAGATATCGGTTGTTAACATTTACATTCACAAACGTTTTATTTCGTGAGAATCTATTACCATGCATTAATCTGAATATTGCACCACCACTGGTTATGAACGGCTTTGTACATCACCTCCCTCACATGGTATTATACAAGCTATTATTAATTAGTGTATCGCAACTGTACATTTAACTCTGTTAATAACGAACCTATTTATAGTAGTTATGTGATTGTGTAGTTGTGTGGTTATACAATACACATATACGTGAGTGTGTGTGTGTGTGTGTGTGTGTGTTGTGCGTGTGTGTGTGTGCGTGTGTGTGTGCGTGCGTGCGTGCGTGTGTGTGTAACAAAGGAATACAGCCAGGAAATTCTATTTGCTTTACACTTTGATGTGGTTCTTCTGTCTGATAATGAATTTTGCGATATTATGTATTTACAGTTTAAAAACCAATTACTTGTGTTTATTTTCGGATGTGCAAAATAGCACACTTAAAATAAACTATGATAAATATTTTGTTAACGTATTCTTTACATTTGTTTTTTCTCTAAACTATGTGGTACTACATGGGTTATACTAGAGTTAACCGTCGATGTTCTGACCAAAACCAATTTGCCGGTATAACAGCTACCCAACCTAACCAGGTTGACACAGACGTTTCTAGATAGAACAGTGTATAATATTATTATTCGCTCATAAGTCATAAATAAACATGCGCCTTTAACAAATTTTTTTTTCAAAAAAAACATATGTCAAAGTATTTTTAAACGCCGTTTGAATAAATAATTGTTGGGTTGACTGTTATAGATCAAAATAATTTATTCCCTGAGAATTTAGGCTATAAAGCTTATATAAGGCATTCAAGTTTGTTGTTTTTATTTTAAAAATCGGAAAGCTACTACCTGTGTAGTTTATACTGTCTCTTGGTATGACGTAGGTTTTGAAAATATACAGACCTCGAAATACATTACAATATTGTTCCACTGGGTAGACTCTACTCTTATTACCTATGCAAAAAGTTGGAAAAATGTAAAAAGAAAAAAAAATGTTACATAAACTAAAAGGTTGCTGAATGGGAGCGTAACTGTGTAAACTAAAAACAACTGCGATGAGGTTAATGGTCTCAAAAAAAGTTTCACTTCAACCTTAATGAAACATTCCAGTTAGTCTTCTTCCGTGTAAGGAGCACTCGGGCTTATGTATCATCAACTTTGGTTACACGCAGAATTGGAAATAGCTAAAGTGTATATTATGAATATATTTCAAGATGATAAAATTTGTATCTGGAATAGAGTTTTAATCTAGAAAAAGTGTTGCAAATACAAAAAATGTAACATAAAATGCAGTGCCATAAATCGTATACACATGAAAAATGCGATTATAGGTACCTTGAACTTTTTTCTACATATTACATATCATTAAACATTTGAGTCTGTAATAGTATAATCATTTATAATTATCGATTTAAACTTTCATATAGTGGTCTAGTAGACGTATCGAACAAGACACAGGTATTTTATTTTACGATGAATAAAATAAATAAAACAAAATAATAAACTGCCTATGTAAAAATTATAAAAAAGATATTTTTGTTATTTTATAAGCCACTAGCTATCCCGGGCGTTGCCCGTGAAACTTGCTCATGATTATGCTAGTAGTTTTTTATCAGGTACCTAGGAAATCTATCTGCAGTAGATTTCGAAAACCACGAGTTGTAAATGTATTTAACTCTAAAGTATCAAATGTATAACTTCATCGGACTAAATGTATGCCTAAAAATCTACTCCTCGATGTCCTCTAAAATTTAAAAACAAACTGCATGGCAATTGGGTGAGTAGTTTCTGAGATCAGCCCTTACTAATAAATAGATAATGATAGATACCGGTATAAAGTTAGATGTAGATAGGTTAAAAATTGAATTCCTTGTAATAAACCATGTATACCACGTGTCAATCCATCGAAACTTACCGAAAATCGATATTATATACTATATATTATGTATGTCTAAAAACATCCTTCGCGATGTCCTCTTTCATTTCAAAAGATGAATGAAATCGGCAAAGGCGTTCTCAAGTGGAGATGTGACAAAGGGAATAGGGTTCGTTTATATATATATATACATAAAAGAGGGGAGTAGTTGAGGTTTCAACCAATATTAAAAAAAGAATTTATTAAAAAAAACTAATGTGCGTTCATAATTTTCACGCACATGTTTTATATTAATAGCAATATGCATAATGGTTTTGGTTTTTATAATATTATTTAACTATTAATTGTAGAAGAAAAAACTGTAAAAGCTAAAAACCAGCTAGGTCATAAATGTGTAACAATAAAAATGTAGAGGACTGTAATAAAAATTAATAGCAGCTTCAACTATAGGGAAAAGTCTTATGTTTACACTAATTAAAGTCCATACTAAAACTGTGGTCTCAAGGGAAGTGAAGTTGGAAACTGATGAACATGGATGTGTTGGAAGTGAATATAATATTGAAAGAGTTGTTTTTGCGCATTATACACTTGAATGTATCATTAAAAAAATACTAATATACTCGATTATTTTCAAATCAATTTTAATTTTAAACTTGCTATTTATTAATCGAATATTCGCGATAAAATCTCACAAACGCACAAAAAAAGAAAATATGAAAATTATGAAAAAATTTATCATGTACCTAGCTCCGCAGTATAATCGCCATTACAGTGCGTAACAATACTAATAAATAATATAAGCTAAAAAACAGCTAGTGCATTTCCCGATACATAGTACATGAGTTAATATAATACGGTACAAAATAAAAAACCTCCTCCTCCGTTTGCCGTTACGTGGCAGAAGAGTTTGATTAAAATATTGCTAGTCCCGAACGGTATTGATCGCAGTTATCGCTACCGTGCGCATTGTTGAAGCGTGAAATGACGGTTTTAATTACGATCGATGGTAAAAAATATATATACGAACGAGAACGCGAAAGAGTGAAGTGCATGCTACCTATATATTTGTGCCAGCGTCAGAAAAAAAAAAAGATAAAAGCCTGTTTCTGATTGGTTACACCGTAAAGGCGAAAATAACACAGCGTGCACAACTACACGGCCAAAAAGTAAACGCTGGCGGGCGACGATGTTTTAGACGCGTAGAGAGAACGTTTCCAGGCCGACAGCAGACGTGCGGCCGATGGAGCTGGAAAAAACCTCTCATCAGTTGTTACATCACGAGTTGATGAGCTCTTGTTCAAATTAATTGTGTAACACATCGAAACGGGTTGTTTTTTTTTTTTGTTTGTTTGTTATCGTTTTCGGACGAATTCACACAGGTCTCGCTCGGACCGATCGTACGACACCTGTCGCCGGGGGGGCGACACTTTGTCCGGTCACGAACCACCAACAGTGGTGCCACTGCCGATTTTCACCTTGATTTATTCGTCGGTATACCTGCCTGTAGTAGGTCCACCGCGGTGTCCAGTCCCGTGATCGAAATAAATACAAAACAAAACGCCTCGAAATCTTACAACCGTATGCGAGTCAAATGTATAGCTCACGTAACATCTCATTCGCAATCCAAACTGGCAATGCCAAAGCAGAGGGCCGCCGTAGGGTGACTGACCGCCCGTCTCGGCGTGATGGTGTGTCTACGGCTCGCGTGAGAATATAATATATATTTGGCTTTCCGTTTCTGTTTTCGTCCGGCCAGGTTAGGATAGGTTATGTAATGTAAGCTGGTGTTGCAAGCTCTGGGCACTGCAGACGGCGACGTAGCTCTTAGAGGGGGGGGGTAGAGGGTGTTAGATGTTGCAACAACCCTCCTCCGCCATTGACATTAACATAACACACGACAATACCGGGTCAACACCATTGATTATTGTCGTGTGCTTACACACTACATTTATGTATACCTACACTAAAGTCTACCCCCCCCCTGCCAACCGCCACCACGTCCACCGGTATATCGATAAGCCGAGGGTGCTGCGCCCCAGGGCGACGTGTAGCTCGTCGAGATGTCTTATTCACACTGCACTGTACAGCAATATAATTACATGTGGCGTGAGATTATAATTTTGATTTTCCGTCTCGTCCGACAGGTACTTCACGATCGTCCGGAATCCCCGGGGTTCGGTGTTCAGGTGCAGCGTGGCCAAGACTTTGGTGCTCATCTGGCTGGTGTCGTTCGCGGCCATGGTGCCGCTGCTGTTGTACCAGAACGTCGAGGAGGTGCACGTCGGACCGATCCGGTTGTACGAGGCGTGCGTCGAGAAATGGCCGTCCCGCGTGGCCCAACAGACCTTCACCGTCGGCCTGGCAGTCGCCCAGTTCGTGTTGCCGTTTACCACCATATCGCTAATCCACTTGAAGATATCGTCCTACCTCACGGTGCACCTGAAGCACCCGGCCCTCCCGTCCAAGGAGATCAGCTGCAGACGAGGTGAGTGCGCTCACATTGATGACCTATCCTCGTGGGCTGTAGGCGTCGCCAAACTACGGACCGCGGATTTCTTAAGATTTTTTTTTATCCGGGCTTTTTTTTTTATTAAGTACAGGAGACATGGCATTATAACTAAAGCAGTTCATTCGTTACGACGACAAACATTATTCTTTTAAAGTAGGCTACAATAGGTGCATTCAAATGTCTTACTACAGCGATCATGTGGGCGTGCAGTAACGACTGTCCGACACTTGGACTTATTTACTCATACTCGCGTTGCGTTTCAATAAAACTTAAAATTACAAATGAATTATAAAATATTATGAAATACAATCCATTTGTCGGGTAGGTACTTAGATCATATACACTGGATAGAGCTATAGCGTATATCACGCGTAGTCCGTGTTTGAAGCAGACCTGTTCATGCCCGAAGTACTTATTGCGCATGCGTGAGAAATGAAATAGATCGCACGGGACGGGGAAGGAACAATAATGTGTTATAGTGATTAGGACGATTAGGTGCTGAATGCTTAGATCTTATACTTTGCTCATGCGCAGTGATGACTTCGGGCACGAACAGCTATGCTTCAAGATTTTAAACCATAGCTCTATCCAGTGTATATGATCTAAGGGTAGGTACAACGCTCGAGCGGAAAAGGTTCGGAGACCTCTTGACCTAACCTAAAATTGACGCAGAATATCATAAGCCTCTTTTTAAATCTGTGGTAGCCGATATTCAATCCTTTGCAAATGTGTCTTTGTGCAGTAAAGTCACAACGTTACATCACACTCGACTGAAGGGTATTTTCGAGTAACCACTTTTTGTCACATTTGAAACATAATTACTCACACGTTTAGAGTAAAAACTTGGGCGGTTTAACTTTGAGGAACATATCTGATAGTTGACAAAGGGGGTGAGCAGTATGATATTAATTTGTCTTCGGGTTTATTTGCATGAAAAAAAGTTATGGTTTTGCGCAACAATCCTGTAGACCAGCGGTTCTCAAACTTTTTTTTTCGCGTACCACTTAAGTATATTATCAATCAGTAGCGTACCACTGATGATTAAAAATAGAAAGATACAAACTTTATATAGTTAAATACATTTGTTCTAAATAAAAATGCAGTAAAATACTGCAGTATAATTATTATTTATTTATTAATACAAATTCATTAGTGTTAAAAAATTAAAGTATGAACTATGAATTAAATAACAAATTTTCAATGAAAACTATGGATTTGTAGATTTGATATTAGCGATGAAATATCTGGTCCAGCGTTACTTGAGGCCTTTCGTGTACCAACACATTGTAGTATTTCGTGTACCACAGTTTGAGAACCGCTGCTGTAGACGAATCTCTGAATAATCGTCGTATAAATATTCACCAGATAAGGTGAACTTGTATACATTTTTTTTAACTTCTAAAATAGCTTTCGACAAGAAAAAGACATACTATCCATAGTTTATATCTCCCGATTAAATATATTTTGAAATAAAACAACATCGTAGTGAAAAAAACGTTGCATTTCATAACAAAACTATATAAAAGACATTAAAATGAAGATAACGTGCCCAAATATACATGAAATAACAATAATGATTACCGTTACCGTCAGTTTTAATCATAATAATAGTAACAATAATGATTATCTCACAGAACTAGTCATCATCATTATTTTTTATGGTTTCGTTAACTATTTAAACTGCCATTAGCTATTTGTTTTTTTTATAAAGAGTATTAACATAATCACCATGATTGTTCGGAATATTATATAAGTTTTAGATTCCTAGAGGAGCGTATGTATTGATTAGGTAAAGTTTAACACTAACAATTATGTGGTTTGTTTGTGTATTGATCGTACTTTTTGGAGTAGAAAATAATAAAATATGTTTTAATCTTCAACTTTCAGACTAATTTCTAGTAGCAAATTGAATATATTCGGTATTTTGAGTGTCAAAAGTTAAAAAATTCTCTGAACTTTTTAAAACAATTGGGAAAAACAAAAATAAAATAACGGGGTTCTTTATGCAACACCTGCAGTTTTCGACAAAATCAATTTTGTTTTTTGTTGTAATTAAAAATGAATACACCAACTACCAAAATATTTTGGCTTTATTTGTTTTTATTTAGGAATGATTAAATTAATAATTATGATTAGGACTTGAAAATGTTTTCCACTACGTAGGGGAGAGCGAGACTAGTTTTCACAAGGGTTAGTCATCACAATGTTAATGACTCTGATGCTAGGTATTTTCATTCATTACATTATGTACTTACTGTATATTATCGTTTTCAAAATGTTCAGAAAATCTGACTTAATTCTAGTGTTGATTTTTTTTAGTACTTACACAAATTGGTATTTTAAATAATGTAAAAAAAAACAACTGTCATAAAAACAAATATATGTATAAAACTGCGATTCCTAGCAACTATATTTTATACTGTGTATACACAATTCAATTTTTAAACAGTTCAAATTAATTAAACAGTTTATACCTCTAATAGGTTATTTATTTATTTAGCTTAATTTAACAGACCAAAAATAAAATTACATGATTCGGCAGGTTTAAAAGAACAGCTCACAGTAAATACACATATCAAAAAGAAATCAAAATGGATGTTATAATACAATAATAATAACGCGTTCTTAGACTGTATTATTATTTGCGGACAAACTTTTGACACGGGCTTATTTAATTAATATTTGTCATGTGTGTGGGCTACATTCATAGGCCTACATAATGCTGAAAAGCTTACCGAAAGTTTTCATTTACTTATTCAAAATATGTCCATTACTAAGCCATTTTGTAGTTTTCAACGAGGACGTCGGGAACAGATGTCTAATGGCAGCCACCGGTCGTAATAAAACAAACACAGAAATAATAGCCAAGGCCTCAGTGCGGAATACTACCATGTTAGGTCAAAATTCAAAACATATAAAACTCTTTTACTCGACCTGGATACGGTCATTAATTTTTAAGACCTTGCAACATGTACTGTGCACAAACCGAAACAAAATTTAGATTGTCTGACATTTATTCTAACCAATGGACCCGATCAAAAGTTTTCAACTGAAACCGAACTGCAAAATGTCGATTTTCAGCTAAGTAATAATAATAATAATAATGATAAAAAAAAAAAACCTACAATACAAAAATATCTATGATATATATTATTGATGGTGATGGTTTTCGCACTATTATCAGTATGTTAAATATCGTGACTGGGAACTAAATATAAGTTATTGCATTTTTATCTTACCAATTTCTTATATTGGCGTGTGTCATGCGAAAATGACAATATACAAAAAGGAGTCTGTTTTTTCCTCTTCGTCGAAATGCATCAAAACGTTATGTTCTCTTGAATAATTCAAATAAAATATGAAAATCAGAAAATATATTCCAGCCAATAAGATACAGCAATATAACTAGTAACTACTATAAAAATTATTTTATAATAACTGTCGAATACTTTTCCATTAGATTTAACATATAAAACGTCAGTTAATGTTTATGTTCTGATGAATATGGACCTCTGAAAGTTATTAACCATCATAAGTCATAAGTCTCGCTGAATGTACCTATAATTTAGAAAAATATATTATTCAAATACATATTTATTTTATAATCTCTTATTTTGGGATGAACAGCCATTCACAACTTACTTAATTTCATTAAATATTAACCAAAAAATACAATTTATACATTTTATTATATTCTTCGGAATAAAATGGACTGATTACTTCGTTAAATTATTTAAAAATAATATTGGTGCGTTATAAAAAAAAAAAAACAAGTATTGGCCTGAATGAAGCAATGAACTTATCGGTTTTACTCGCTGTGTCTATTTCTTTTGCATATTTAATTTCTGAGTAGAAATAGTGTTTCAATAATTCTAAGTTGGGTAACATTTTGATTTTAATAGGTTTCACCGAGCTAAAAGGAAAGCAATCGTCAGAAAGCTACAAAAATGTGAAATTTACCTCAGCGCGATTGGTTTTACTATCAAAATAAATTTTAATTATTCTAAAGTAATTCAGAAATCAAGAACCTTGAATATTTAAACAATTTCATTGGCTTATTAATTGTAAACTTTCTATTGGTAGATATATTGAAGGTACAGAAATTCGTTGCGATGTGCAATTATTATACAATAGCCGAATAAGCCTGCTGGTCTATTGTGATACACAATGACGGAACCTAATAAAATGTTTAATTCAGTATAATACATTTTTTTTTTTGCGATAACGAAAATAAAGTTTTTGCTTTTATTGCTTCTATTTCTTGCTGATACAAAAAATATTTAATGAGGGTACGCTTAATATGCTCATTTGTGTGTGTGTGTGTGTGTGAGAGAGAAAGATAGATTAAGGGAAGGGGGATATTCGTGTTTGTTGTTTTACATAATCCTCATCGTTTATAGGGGTCCAAGTTTGAATGTAGGGATTATATTGAATACTCGGGTGTCATTTGCGGCCCCCGACTGCATTAGGGTCAGAAAGTCGGAAAAATATTCACTTTTTTTTTTTATTATAAATATAGGATTTCAGGAAAAAAGGGTTCTAGACCTAAGCTTTTAGTATGCCATTTATATGCTGTAAAGCGCATTTGTGTGCACAAGTCTATAAGCGTTTAAACGTTATAAGCGTATCGGAAAGAAACGGAATGGATATAATATATTCATATTCATCGGCCGTAGACGGTGTCCGGTGTGTTTGTTGTTACTATACGAGATGACCTGCGGTGAAAAAAAAACCCGAACGCGTCGATGATCGAATTGGCGGGTGGGGGCG